GGAATGATCCTCACTGTAAAGATTTGTTCCCTCTTTTGAGCTACTGCATCTATAGGTGTAGGTCAAGTTCATCAAATTGTATCAGATTACTCTTTTTTACCTCTTCTTTCTTCTTCTGGTTGAACTTTGATCATCCAGTCATTGAAGCCAGGATAAGTGGGTATTATCTGCAAGTGTGGGTGTTCTTATGCTTATGCCCTCTCTTCTTATCAGCTGGACACTTCACACTCCACTCTAGTCCTCTGTGGCTATGTCACTGACTCTGGGCCCGAGTCCCCAGGTCTTGCCACACTGCTAGCCAACCAGGTCTTCACTCGGGTTCACAGGAGTCTATTGAATGTTGTAGGGGTTAGCTCGCCCACTTCATTGCTGTTTTCCCCTCACTTCCCCTTATTGGTGACGTACGTGGTCACCAATCAGAGCATGTATTCTCATTGAGTCTTAGTCTTGGATAGGGGTTTGCCCTGAGGGGACCCGACCACTTGCCTTGATGTCTCCTGGTCAAGCAACTTGCTTGTTCTTGTAGTAATCAGTCGACTGCCTATATTGTTTTGTATTTTTCCTGTCAGTCTTTCTTTCAAGAAATATCTTCTCTTCTTCTAGCTGCTCCAGGCTGGTCTGCTTGTCCTTTCAAGTAGAAATTTCCCACCCCAGAAGAGTCTGGATGGGGTTCAGGGTTCCACCTATGGTCTTATGTAATGCAGAGGCTCCACAGGAAGCCTCCTAAGTGAAGTAGAATTTTTTAGAGCAATTTGAAACATACGTTCTGCTGAGAATTCTGAGACTTAGATGGTCTGATGGTTTGTAACATTCCGACTTGAGTGGGGACTTATTTCCTCAGAAGGGTTTAGTCTATCCCAACAGGAGTGGTTTACATCTTTTGTTTTATTGATATGCAGGAAAAGAAGTAACTTTGTGAGGAGAGGTTCCTAATACTTTTGGCAGAAGACAAAATAATTATATGTGAATTTAATTAGTTTCTTCTAGCTTCCATTTGCACTTGTACTTTGCTCAGAGTCCTAATTTGTCCTTATTGTTGTTGTTGTTAGGTGCCATTGAGTTAGTTCCGACTCACAGTGACTTTATGCACATCAGAAAGACACACTGTCTGGACTTGCACCAATCTCACAATCATTACTACACTTGAGCCCTTTGCTGCTGCCTCTGTGCCAATCGATCTTGTTGGAGGTCTTCCTCTTTTTTTGCAACCCAAGCATGATGTCATTCTCCAGGGACTGGCCCTTCCTGATAATATGTATGAAGTATGAGCAACAAAGTCTCACCATTCTGACTTGTAAGGAGCATTCTGATTGGACTTTTTCCAACACAGATTTGTTTGTTCCTCTGGCAGTTCATAGCACTTTTAATATTCTCCTCCAACACCACAACTCAAATGCATCAATTCTTCTACAGTCTTTCTTATTCATTTTCCAACTTTTTCATGCATGTGAGGCAATTGAAAAGACCATGGCTTGGGTCTTTAGTCCTTACACTTAGTCCTCACACTAATATCTTTGCTCTTGAATACTTTAAAGAGGTTTTGTGCAGCAAATGTGCCCAATGCAATACATCGTTTGATTTCTTGACTGCTGCTTCTGTGAGTGTTGATGGTTGATCTGAGCAAAATAAAGTCTTTGGCAACTTCAATCTTTTCTCCGTTTATCGTGATGTCATTTATTGCTTCAGAGGAATTTTGTTATTTTTTACATTGAGGTGCAACCCATAATAAAGGCTGTGGTCTTTGATCTTTATCAGTAAGTATTTTAAGTTCTCTTTGCTTTCAGCAGGCAAAGTTGCATCATCTGTATAGCGCAGGTTGTTAATGAGTCTTCTTCTAATCCCATTGCATATGTATACATACATATATATATATACATATCTCACAGGTTGTTAATAAGTCTTCTTCTAATCCCAATGCCACTGTATATAATATATATACATATATATATATAAATGAAATCAGCCCTCTAACAGTTCTGATGATTTCTGAGCTGCTCCAGGGATGGTCCTTTTCTTTTCTTGGAGGATAGTAGTTGCAGCTCCTTTGACTTGTTTCCTGCCTATAGCAACCCAAGAAGCAGACAGCTTTCTTTCCTTTCATCTTATTTTTTTTCTTTTAACCTCTTCAGTCTAAACTAAAGAGTAACTGGTTAGACCCAACAGTCACAGACTTCATGTCTTTAACAAAAGATTGAGTCACTAAATCCTTGTTGCGAATTCTAGTTTGTACAACAGAATTTTAAAAATCTTAAATTTTGATTTCATTTTGCTCCATTAAAGTCCATTTCTTTCCCCTCTCATCGTATGTGGTTCCTATAAGATCTTGCTTGGAAATCTCCTCAACCAAATATCCAAGTTTATCACTTAAGAGTTTTACCTTCCACTAAACATTTGAATGTAATTTAGACTCTTTGCCACTGCATAAAAAGTATCACCCTTCCTCCATTGATCATTCAGATGTTCATCATTTTCTTTTAAAGTGTCATCAGAAGCACATTTAATATCCACATGTCAAACAACATTCTGCTGAATGCTTTCTCCAAGACAATAGAGACTTTATAGGAGGAGAATATTAAAAGTGCCACAGGCTGCCAGAAGAACCAATAGATCTGTTTTGGAAGAAGTGCAGTCAGAGTGCTCCTTGGAGGCCAAGATGGCCAAACTTCGTCTCTCTTACTTTGAACATATTGTCAGGAGGGACCAGTTGCTGGAGAATCATGTTTGGTAAGCATTCTGCTGTGCATAGGGTCACTATGAGTCGGTATTGACTCGATGGCACCTAACAACAACAACATAGAGAAATACACCCCCACACATGCATTTTAGTTCTATATTTCCTCCTTGTTTAAACTTGGGTGAGAAACAAAAATTGAACACTTAGCTGATGCACTGATGTTTTAGTTGGACCAAAGGAACAGCCTGTTTGGAACTTACTTTGGTTTTTTTTGCCTCCGGCATTTATTATTAAATTACCAAATGTCATTCCCTTTTTTTATCCATCCTCTTGTTCAGAGCTGTCAAAGACCTGTAATCTATACCCTTTGTTTCAGTTTCATCATAAGTTGAAATAAAGTCCTATTTACATTTTCTCAATAAACAGAGCACCATGTTGTTGCAGTCTTGCCTTTTCACCTCATTATGGCCAGAGCAGAGCGTGATGTCACACTTGACCTAGTACCAGTCTACCCATAAATGATGCAGCCTGCTCCCCCTTAGCTTCCTGACTCAAGCACTAGGAAGGAGCTTAGTATGAAATTCATGGCGTGATGACAGATTTAAAAGTTGTTACAAACTCTAACAGACAGCAACTGCAGTTTGTAGACATACACAACATGTACCACTCTCTTGTATTTTTAAGTGATGACATTCTTCGTTTAAAGAGTTACATTTATATAGCTCATTACTGTGGCCTGTCTATGAAATGAGGGTGGTAGAGAGAAGGGAAAAGAAGGCTAAATTGGTTATGAAGACATTTACCAGAAGAATTTTCCAAATGTTAATGAGCAGCTTAAAGAGCTGCACACATGTGTTGCAATGTAATTGGATTTGATGCCTTCTGGGGACTTTGAAGCTTTTCTGCTCTTGCCCATTGTATTTTGAGGGGTGGAATGAGCCCCTTAGATTTTTAACACTTTGGCTCTGAGGATCCACACGGTGCTAAATTGTAAATCTGCAGACAGCCAACAAATAGCAGGCCAAGCTCCACTGATTCTTGTTTGGTTTGGGCTTTTCAAGCAATTAAATGAATGGTAGTCTCTAAATGTCTATGGGGAGGTAAGACGTGCTTTGAGGAGAATTTACAGGAAAGGGGCAAGGAGAGGTTCCTTCCCCGCTGCTGGGACTTTTCCTAGTGAATAAAGCAATTTCATCCAAATGTGCCCTGAGAATCTTGCCAACCCATTCCTGCCCCTCAGTGTGCCTTACTTTTCTAGTCCACAAGACTTTCCTGTTGGGGAAGACTTGTTGTTGTTTTTTCCCATGTGAAGAAATTACAGCTCAGAACAAGCTTATATAAGAGTTAAATAAGTGTATATTTCAGGAGATCCCCTTTCAGGTTCATGAAAGTTATTATGACCATTCAAGTGGGAAGTTGTTTCCATTGTGGATGATCTGTGGACTTCAGGCACTGGGGGAGAACCACACTGGTGTGATGGTGAGACACTGGGCTGGGTACCCAGGTGCCAGAGCTCCTTCCCTCTCTGAAATAACTGGCAGAGGCCATGGCTTGTGTTCTGAGATCTGTGAGTTGCTTGTTGCTCAGTTTTGGTGAAGTTAGTTATGATTATTGTTATAATTCAGAGGAAAGTTTTATTGCACAGTGAGAGTCCTTGGTTTGTTGTTGTTAAGTGCCATTGAGTTGATTTCCACTCATAAGGACCATAGGGTTTCCAAGGAGTGACTGGAGTGTTTGAGTCACAGACCTTGAGGTTAGCAGTTCAGCGCTTATCCTACAGTGGCATAGGGTGGCATAGATTACTCCTGCAAAAGCAAAGGATAACTGGCCAGCTCGGTGATTGTGTAATATGGTCTGAAGCTTCTTGAGGAAAGGTTCATAGAAAGTGTCCTGAAGTTGCATTTGCTTGGGAACAAAGGCAGACGTGGTAATGGGAAGGGCTTAGAAAGATGAGTTCTTAATCCTTAGGTATCGCTTTGAAGGTTTTGTTGTTAAGTGCCATTGAGTCAATTGCGACTGATAGCAACCCTGTATAGGGTTTCCGAGGAGCAGCTGGTGAGCTTGAACCACTGATCTTGCGATTCAAATGGCTTTGCAGTCTGGCGCATTAACCCACAGCGCCACACCAGGACTCCATTGAAGGTACAGGCTTGCAATTGTCATTCTTGTGAGGTGTCTAGTCAAGCTTAAAATGCTAGCTGAAGAAAAGCAGAATTAGGTTGACTCTTCATTAACCTTTTAACTTTCTGCTTCGTTTCCTATTCTGATGATCTGCTTTTGTATTGCAAAAATGCTCCTCATTCTTTTTTTTTTTTTTTGGCTGGATAGTGTACTTTATTGATGGTACATGACAAGACTGGGCTCTTTAGAGCCCCTCCCCTTCTCCAGGGGGTCTGGATGGAAACAGGATTGGAGTTTCGCAGTGTGTAGGGGGATTAGAGTTGGGGTAAGGACTCCTAGCAGCTGAGGGCCTCTCTCTTCCTCTAGTGCTGTTGCTGGGGCTGGTGGTCCAGGGGGCTCTTATTCTTTGGAGGCCATGTGGACCATAAGGTCTGCCACCCTGTTGCTGTAGCTGAATTCATTGTCATACCAGGAAATGAGCTTGACAAAGTGGTCATTGAGGGCAATACCAGCTCCAGCATCAAAGGTGAAAGAGTGGGTGTCACTGTTAAAGTCACAGGAACAACCTGGTCTTCAGTGTAACCCAGGATGCCTTTTAGGGGTCCATCTGATGCCTGCTTCACCATCTTATTGATGTCATCATATTTGGCAGCTTTCTCCAGGCGGCAGGTCAGGTCCACAACAGACACATTAGGAGTGGGGACACGGAAGGCCATGCCAGTGAGTTTCCCATTCAGTTCAGGGATGACCTTGCCCACAGCCTTGGCAGCACCAGTAGATGCAGGGATGATGTTCTGGGCAGCCCCACGGCTATCACGCCACAGTTTCCCAGAGTGGCCATCCACAGTCTTCTGGGTGGCAGTGATGGCATGGACTGTGGTCATGAGTCCCTCCACAATGCCAAAATTATCATGGATGACCTTGGCCAGGGGGGCCAAACAGTTGGTGGTGCAGGAGGCATTGCTGACAATGTTGAGCGAGTTGTCATACTTCTCATGGTTCACGCCCATCACAAACATGGGGGCATCAGCAGAAGGGGCAGAGATGATTACCCTTTTGGCACCACCCTTCAAGTGAGCCCCAGCCTTCTCCAAGGTTGTGAAGACACCGGTGGACTCTACAACACATTCAGCACCAGCATCACCCCACTTGATGTTGGTGGGATCTCGCTCCTGGAAGATAGAGATGGGCTTCCCATTGATGATAAGTTTCCCGTTCTCAGCCTTGACAGTGCCATTGAACTTGCCATGGGTGGAATCATACTGGAACATATATACCATGTAGTTGAGGTCAATGAAGGGGTCGTTGATGGCAACAACCTCTACTTTGCCAGAGTTAACAGCAGCTCTGGTGACCAGGCGCCCAATACGGCCAAATCCGTTAACTCCGACCTTCACCATCTTGTCTCAGGGATGCGGCTGGTACTGCAAGAGAAGCTGCGGCTGCCTGTCGAACGGGGAGGAGCAGAGAGCTCCTCATTCTTTTTGGCTTAGTTTTTACAACTGTGTCATGGCCTTTGAGTATATAATATAATGTGAAATTAATTTATTATGTGAATGATGTTTAAAACGGAAATATTTCAGTATCTGCATTGAAATTTAAGTTGGGTAACAACAGAATAAGGGTAACTATATAAACAAAAAACAAGTTGTTCTGAGGAGATTTCCATCTGTGTTCCTACCTTATGCTCAACAGAGCAATAGGAATATTAGATGATTCTTAAAATTTAGCAGAATATCTTGATTACCAATGCCAACTATAAGGCATCAAAAGATCATTAGCCACTACCTCCCTGCATGTGACTAATTATGTATCAGATATCATCTAGTGCATCAGGAAGCCATAAAGAAGTTTGCCAACATTCTTTGATATTAAGTAGGGAGTGAAGATAAACAAGCACCCAAAATAACTAGTAATAAAAGATATCTTAAAACTGAATTGGGATAATCATACTCTGGGAGTTCAGAAGGAGAGCTCTAGTGGGGACGGTCAGGGAAGATCATCCTGTGTGTGTATGGGTTTCTGCCTTCTAGCTCATTTAATCTTCTTGGCACTCCTGACAGATGGTGGTGGAAGTGGTCGTGCACTGTGGAGTAAGTTTCAATTCACAGCAGACCCTGTATAGGGTTTCTGAGGCTATAAATCTTTATGGGAGCAGAAAGCCTCATCTTTCTCCTGTGGCATGACACATAGATTCCAACATTATTGTTGTTAGGTGCCATTAAGTCGGTACCGACTCATAGCGACCTTCTGTACAGCAGAACGAAACACTGCCTGATCCTGGGCCAACCTCACTATCATTGCCACGCTTGAGTCCATTGATGCTGCCACCTTGCCAATCCATCTCGCTGGAGGTCTTCCTCTTTTTCTCTAACCCTCCACCCTACCAAACATGATATCCTTCTCCAGCAACTGGTCCCTCATAGGCATTATTATTTTCATTCATATGATGTGGAAACAACGGCACATACAAACACAAAAGTAATTTGATCATGATTCCATAGATATAAAAATATAGAGTCAGAATTTCAACCTAGGTCAGGGTTGACCTGGGGAGTATTATTCTATGGCACTTGGCAACAACCAAGGATAAGGAAACATAAACAAATTCCAGTGAATTAAAAGTTGAATATGTAGTTCTGTGGGCGTGATTGGGAGATAAGCCTGGGGAGGATTGGGTTGTATTTTGGAGGACTTGAAATAGTCCAGGAGTTCCTCCAACTGACCGTGAGAGGCAGGAAAGCATGAAGTGTGCCTGTTTTGTTCACATAATAGCAGCTCAATAAAAAACAGGATAGGAAGTCGAAGTTAGAAGCTATGAAACAAGGAAGGAAGGCTTTCTTAGTTTCCTAGAGTTGCCATAACAAAATGCACACAGTGGTGGCTTTAATGAGCATAGTTCTAGTAACTAAAATTCCAAATCCCAGGCTTTGGTGGGACTCTGTTCATTTTCTGTTGGCTTTAGTGGAAGATCCTTCTTTGTATGTTTCATTTTCTAGTACCCTTGGGTGTTTCTTGTCATTCCTTGGCTTCTATGTTGTCTTCCCCATGTGTGTAGTTCAGTGTCCTCATCTATCTCCTCTTTTTATAAAACTCCATTCCAAAGGCATTAGGACCCACCCTACTCTAATGTGACCTTATTAACTTAATTAATAATGATAGAAAAATCCCACTTCCAAACAAGATCACATTTATTGGTACAGGTGTTTGTGTGGGTGGTTAAACCTGGTGTAAGGTGTCCTGGTAGTGTAGTGGATTATGTGTTGGGCTGCTAACTGCAAGGTCAGCAGTTTTAATCTACCAGCCACGCAGAGGTAGAAAGATAAGGCTTTCTACTCCCATAAAAGATTTACAGTCTTGATAACCCTATACAGAGTTGTTATGAGTTGGAACCGACTCCACAGCACACCACCACCATCACAAGCAATTCTGGTGCTGTAGGATATGCACTGAACTGCCAACTGAAAGGTTGGCAGTTCAAACTCACCAGCCACTCCTCAGAAACCCTATATAGGGTCACTATGAATCAGAACTGACTCTATAGTGGCACTTAACAACAACAATAAAATCTGGTATAGATGTTTAGCATGGCATGTGATTGATTGGTGGAGCATAGTTGTTGTAATTGTTAAATAGAGCATTGCTCAACTTTAAAGAAGGACCTCTCGCAGCATAGTGGTTACGATTTGGGCTGTTAACTTCAAGGTCAGCAGCTGGAAACTACCAGCCATTCTGTGGGAGAAAGATGAGGCTTTCTGGTCCTGTGAAGATTTACAGAGTCGGAAACCCTATAGAGGATCGTTATGAGTCAGAACCGACTCCATGGCACACCACTACCACGACCAACAACTTTAAGGAATTTTTGACTCATGAGTCATATATAATTGTTACACTTTTTTTTTTTTTTTCTTTCAATCTTAAAACAAATGCAGCAGGATTCGTGCTCCTAAAGCAATACTTTATCTAGTTGGGACTCTGTCTCACCTAGATAAATAATGTGGAATGACGGGAGATGAAGGGCTTAATTGCTTGCTTAATGTTTCCGGTATGTACAGTTGGGACTGTCTTGATCCTGATCAGCCTTAAAATTTGCTGTCAGGGCTCAGAGTTTTATAAAATCAGTCAGATATTTGAGGAAAATAAATTTGAATTTCATTTCGGCTTTTGGAGCCCAGGAGAGTGGTAGGTGCTCCATAGATATTTCCATGTGAATGAGTGGTTATAATAGCTGATCAGACCACGTCAACTCCACCTGGCTGTTTGTTAGATGGGAATAGCAATGAATTAAACGAACTTAATGATTCACAACACATTTCTCAAAATAATGTCTATGTTTATATTTCTATTCCACCACGTAAATCTAGTTCATTATCATTTTTGAATTAGTTTTCTGCAGTGTGTGGTAGCTGGTTTCCTTTCTTCCAGTGCTTTCTCTCCCCTTAGCTCTCCAGAAATTTATGTCCAGATATAATAAGCTCCTGAAAATAAGTTTCTTCATGTTTGTTCATTTTAATATTAGGTTTAGGAGTCTGGCCTGTATCAGGTAATTTCCAGGTGTAATCAGGGAAAGAAGTCCCAGGGTCACTCAGTGTTATGACCCTCCTGGAGCCCATAAGCAAGGTTTGTATTCAAAAACAAAACTTTGCATTATTGCCTCTGGAAAATCAGGAGGGTGGGGTCAGGTGGGAGTATAGCCACATAACCTTGATGCAATATCTCACCCTTATCCTCTGTTTGCATTTCCCTGTTATGTTTTATTTTTGTTCCTCATGAGGAAGGAGTAAGCATTTTTCTTTCCTTTCTGCAATAGAGCATTCAATGGCTCCCCTAGACAAAGCATGTTTTTTTCACTGCCCCAAATATCCTGTATTCATTTCTACCTTTTTGCTTTTGTTGCAGCTGCTCCCCCTTCCCCTCCTTGGAGGACATTTCTTCCTCCTTTCTCCCAACTCTTTATTTAGCATCTAGCTCAGTTTCCATTTTTTCCATTGAGTTATTTTATGCCCCAAACTCTACCTACTTCTCTCTTTCATGAACCATAGCATTTTGCCTGTTGGTTTTATTTTCTATTGTGTAATTATTGACTCATTCCCCACTTGGGTACTACTTCTGCCCACCCCCTTAAAGATGATGAATTCTTTATTTTTTGAATGTCTCCTATTTCCTGGTTCAGCACTCCATCTCAGTTATTAGTCAATGACCAGTATGTCAGTTTGTCGTAGTGTGGTGGCTTGCTTGTTGCTGGGATTCTGGAAGCAATGACACTGCTATTTTAAATACCATCAGGGTCACTCATGATGGACAGGTTTCAGATGAGCTTCCAGACTAAGACACTAGGAAGAAAGAGAGATGGACTACTTATGAATATTTAGTCACTGAAAACCTTATAAATACCAGTGGAACACTGTTAGATAGCACCAGGATATTGTAACATGATGAAAAAACCCTGAATATTGTCAGATATAGTGCTGAAAAGTGAGTGCCTCAGGTTGGAAGTCACTCAAAATATTACTGGTGAAGCGTTGCCTCTTTAAAACAGAGTTAACTGTGATGACACAAATGAAGTAAAGCTTTCAGGACCTTCATTTGCTGATGGCGTGCAACTTAAAATTAGGAGAAACAGCTGTAAGCATCTATTAATAATCGGGACATGGAATGTACGAAGTATGAATCTAGGAAAATTGGAAGTTGTCAAAAATGAAAATGAAATGGAATGCATAAACACCAATATCCTAGGAATTATTGAGTTGACACGGACTGGTTTTGGCCATTTTGAATCTGACAATCACATAATTTACTGTGTTGGGAATGACAAATTGAAGAGGAATGGCATTGCATTCTTCATCAAAAAGAACATCTCAAGTTCTATCTTGAAGTACAATGCTAATATGCCTACAAGTAAGACCAGTTAATACAACTATTATTCAAATTTATGCACCAGCCACTAAAGCCAATGGTGATGAAATTGAGGAATTCTACCAACTTCTTCAGTCTGAAATTGATCAAACATGCAGTCAAGATGAATACATAATTACTGGTGATTGGAATGCAAAGGTTGGAAACAAAAAGGAAGGATCAGGTGTTGTAAAATATGGCATTGGTGATATTAACAATACTGGAGATTGCATGGTAGAATTTTGCTAGACCAATGACTTCTTCATTACAAGTACTTTTAAAAATAACATAAAAGATGACTATATACATGATCCTCACCAGATAGAATACATAGAAATCAAACTGACTACATCTGTGGAAACAGACAGTAGAAAAGCTCCATATATATCATCAGCTAGAACAAGGCCAGAGACAGATTGTAAACACACCATCAATTGCTCATATGCAAATTCAGACTACAGCTGAAGAAAATTAAAAGAAGTCCATGAGAGCCAAAATATAACCTTGAATACATCCCAC